ATTATAAGTTAAAAATATAATTTATTTTATAAATTTATTTAAATAATTTTAATAGAATAATATAAAAAATAATTTTATTAAAAATATTTAAATAAATTTATAGAGTAAATTACATTTCTAATATATAAATATACAGTCCATAGTGTACAATGTAAATCTCCCCTCATGTCTTCTCATTCACGGCCACAACCTTGAATCCTGTTGTACTCTGTCGTCCACAAGCTCACCGCCCCCATATCTTCGGTTGCCGCCGCTCAACCATCGATCATTGTAGAGCAAGAGGAGGAGGTGGACACGATTCACGGTTCCATTAGCACTTTCTAAATCAGGGCTTTCCTCGATTGGAGCCTAGGAGAATCGCAACCCGCCGGCAACAATATAGAAAGAGACAACAGACCTCGCCTGAGGGGAGAAGGTCCCACAATCCCCGCCCAACAGCTTGTTCATATATCATTGTGTTAATTGTCAAAGAGATTACATTGTTTGAAGAAAGCAAAGAGCTCGTTTGTATTTCACCTTTTCATTTTAGACACAGTTTTTGCATTGTTTGCTGGAAATTAGTTATAACTTAGCCCGTTAGTTTCTACAACAAATTTTCTCCTTGACTTTTGGAGATTTCAACACTTGATTCAGATTTAACTCTTTTACATATATATATATGAGAATTAGAAAATTAGAACTAGGGAAGGAGAATGTTATAATTTAGTTGATAATTAAGAGTCCGATTCAAATTAGGGTTTATTGCTAATTTGTTTATGCTTCAATTGTGTTTCTCTAAAATATCTGTTAGCCAGTTAATGACATATTTGAAATTGCAATAATCATGATTTTCACTACTCAATACTAATTCATTGACGATATTTTATGTGTGAATAAAGTGTTGATGCTTACTTGAAGAAAATTACCCAACTTTCTGGGTCTGTTTTGGATTTGGAGTCAATTAGCCTAAAGTTGGCCAGATAAGAATAGGATTCTATGCTTCTATATTGGAAGTTATTGGATGGGAATATGTGTGATTGCCTTTCTCTTTATAACCCTTTCTATTTTCTTCATTTAGATACGCCTTTCCCTCTACAAAATTATGATTCTATGTCCATTAATCATAGACTACAGGTGTGAATTTTTTTTTTTTTTTTGGGGGAAAAAGGCAAGCTTTTTCATTGTATGATACCTGTATGATTGTTAAGGATTTAATTAGATTTTTGAATTGAATTGATTATGAATATAAAATTTTAAATTACTTTGGTATGGTGGATTGGAAAACATGGTACAGCTTCCTTTATTTGCATAAAGGCTGTTAAAAAATGATAATCCAGGGTATCAAGGCTTCAGATGGTCTATTTACTGCATATTTTCAGGTACAAGTACACATGTGAAATTACTCTATTTTAGCTTTTATTTGTCCCTCCATATCAATTATTGTATTATGAATTTCAAGCGTAATTATGTGTGTGTGTGTTTTCCTCAAATTTGGGTTAAAGATATCAGATTTTGAATTAGCAGAATGACTTCCTTCTTAATTGTCACACCACCCTATTGCTACAATTGATAAGATATTTGAGTACCAAAGTTGATAGCTGTCTCCAAAGCTTACAGAGTTGGGCAACCACTTTAGGGGCAGTTACAAATCCAAGCTTCACTACTACAGAAGAAGCTAAAGAGTAAGCTGCTTCTGTTTTACTTTAAAGTTTAAACTCATTTCAAATCTATTGATGCACATCATTAATATTATCTAAGGTTTCACACACAGGCCTACTTATAAAATAATTCACACGAGGTTAGCTATGTGTCTAACTATAAAGTTAGAGTATATTGTAATAATTCACACAAGGATAGAACGGTGCCTAAAAATGTGTGCCTTTCAATTGTTATCCCTAGTGCCCATGGTGACTTAGCCAAAATGAAAACTTTTCCTGATCTCTTGTATCTATATTGAATTGAAATGAAACTAATTAGTTTCCTGCTAAATTAAGTTCTTGAATTCTCAGGATGATCAATTGTTGATGTTGTAAACTAGCATTACTGCATCTAGCAAAGTTTAACATATAATTTTGCATGTGCCTATGAAAAGCCATAATTGATGAATGAGTGTGCTGATTTGGATTTGCAATGACATGCTATGCATATGCAGGGATTTAGGGTTAGATTGGTTCTTCTTCACAAGGATGCTGCCAAAATTAATATTACATCTGCAAGATTAGGTTAGATTAATTCTCTCCCTAAAGAATTCAATTCACACCTATTAATTGGAATTAAATGTTTGTATAGACCGTTCAATTTGTAATATTGCAAGTTATGAAAGAGGGAATACATGGTCCTTTTATATTTGAAGAACCTCCTGGTGTGGGACCTCCTGGTGTGGAAAATAGAACCATGATCTGGGCTATGCTTTAAGAGGTTTTTGCTTCTGAGACAAGTCAGATATATTGTGTATTTCTATTTCAAATCCATCAGTAATTGTTATACTAAATTATGATTGCAAGTGCATTGTTGTTAGTTGTTTATATTAGTTGCATTTTCTTTGATATGTTTGTCATATATTTTAGGCAGCATTTTCGTTTTCAATTTTTATAAATTTTCTCCAAGGCCCTGAGGTTAATCTAGCTACAAAGAACTGGGATTGAGAGATCTTATCACCAATTAGAAAAAACTGTGCAGCTTAGCTACACAAAGTGGTATGCTTGACCTTTTTTTCCCTCCTCTTTTTTTTTTTTTTTTTTTTTTTTTTTTGATCTTGAGGTGCACAATAAAAGATAATCCTTTTCAATCCCATAACTCATCTCATCTATATACCATATAATTTGAACTCAAACTTACGACCTTTTTCTTTTATTAAAAAAAAATTATTACTGAATTATTTAGATTATTAGTTTTTTTCCAATTTTTAGGTTTGGAATAAGATATGCTTATTAAAATAATAAAATATATAGTTTCTTTCAATTCAATGTAAAAGGAAAACATGTGGAAGATAATTAATTATGTTCGTTTCTGTTTGGCCTACATTTTATTCTGCTAAAAGCTCTAAGTGATTAAATTCTCAATAGAAAAATCTTTATATTAGAAATTGCTCTTTGGTTCTACCTTCATTTAGAGAAAATGTAATTGGTTTTAAATCAAGGTGCCCATTTAAATCACTACGCCGGGCGAGAATCGCTTGTTCATCCCAAATTCTGTGGAGGAGGCAGTACAGAGATGAAGCTAACTGGGCTCGAACCGATACTTATTGGCTGTCATTTACATGCTCAAGGGTGGGATTCTTCACATTTTGTTTTGCCCCGAAAGTGAAGCTGGAAATATAGAGGACTCCTGTGCTATTGTTTAAGATGCTAGTAGTGATAATCATTTTACCTTGTACCATGTTATTACGCTTAAAGCAATTGCCTTAGTAATCTTATGGTTTAAAGTGGCTTCTTGTACTTAATTGTTTACATCTGTTTTATGTGTGCTATTGCCTATTATTATATGTTTAAGCATAGCTTCAAGGGTGATGCCATGGGGACCAATTGGTCCCCAAAACAGAGTCACAGACCAACCTAAAGGAAACATTCAACAGGAGGAAACAGATCGAGAGAAAATTACGTCTGCAGCAAGCCACGGCTAACAGGACAACATGTCTCTTGGTCGAATCAAGAAGGACATCCTCCTGTCCAACTGGCTCATTAGCTTGAATCTTGGCACACCTACTAACCGGAGATCAGTGAGGCAGAATGAAGCTAGATATGAATTGCTCAAAAAGCTTCGCTAATTTCCGTAACATCCAACCTTTTAGCTGCCACCACAAAGTGAGCCTAAAGACAACCCAAACCTGCAGACCAAGGCAGTCCAAGAGAAAGCACCAGACAAGCAATGCTTTCTTTTACTGGCAATAATTTATAATCAACCACCCAGCCAAAGATGGTACATCCCTCAAACCACCTCGAGACATCTCCATCACACGGGTAAAAGCATCAAACAAGGACAAAAACATAAACTAGAAATAGGATCAGAAATAGAGAAATTTTTAGCTCTCAAAGGCCACAAGGGAGATCCCAGCCCTTGTGCCTGATTTACCTACGTGCACCATGTCGCCATTGTTGGCTGTTTGGGGACAGCCACTGAACCCCTCATCATCACGATTGATCTTCTGCCCGCCCAAGGACAACACTCCAGAAAGGCATATTGGAACATCCACTGCACAAGCGCTTCCTCATCAAGCACCAAGAAACTTTCATTCAGATACATATATACCCAACATATTCAATCCTTCGATAATGTTGAACAACTAGAAAGCTACTCACACTCCTCTAAAGACAACATTCAGAACCCTTAAAAGATCACAATTATCACATAACAAGTCGCAAAGCATAGCTTAGAAAATAAATTACACACAAGATTATATTCAATTCAACAAACTAGTAGCTAGACATTAACCAGCAGCTTCTGATCTCTGCAAGAACAACGCTCCTCTTCACCAACGGAACTAGCTTTCACTTCATACTTGACTGTCATCATGCCTCATGCTTCCTACAAACATAGTCTTTTTCATAAATAAATATATAAATATATATATATATATACATATATATATATA